GCGCCCGCCTCAACCTCACCTTGGTCGAGTGGCAGGAGAAGACCTTCATGTGTGGAGTCACCCACAAGGCCTCGAACACCGACGTGCTGGTCACCGGCCACAAGTGCCTCAGTGAGTGGGGACGTGGGGTTGGGTGGTGGCATCTCCACGGGGTTCCGTTGAGCTTGGTTCTTGGTCTCTATGGGGGTCTTATTGAGTTGGGTGGTGGCATCTCCACGGGGTTCCGTTGAGCTTGGTTCTTGGTCTCTATGGGGGTCTTATTGAGTTGGGTGGTGGCATCTCCACGGGGTTCCGTTGAGCTTGGTTCTTGGTCTCTATGGGGGTCTTATTGAGTTGGGTGGTGGCATCTCCGTGGGGTTCATCCTATACTGAGAGGGATTTCCATGGGGTTCATTCTATATAGGTTTGGGGGTGGTGGCATCTCTATAGGGTTCCATTGAGCTTCAATTTGGGTGGTGGCATCTCCATGGGCTTCCCCCCTCATTGCTTTGGGCCTAACAGCATCTCCATGGGCTTCCCCTCTTATTGATATGGGGCTGGTGGCACCTCCATAGGGTCCCATTGAAGTCCCTTTGGGTGGTGGCACCTCCATAGGGTCCCATTGAGGTCCCTTTGGGTGGTGGCACCTCCGTAACGTTCCTCTCCCATTCCCCACCACCAGGCGCCCCTCCGGACTCCAGCTCCATCCAAGTCTTCGTCCTCCCCCCGTCCCCCTTGGACCTTTACGTGTCCCAGAACCCCAAACTCCGCTGCGTGGTCACCAGTTTGCCCAGTGACGATGGGCTGGAGCTGACCTGGAGCCAGGAGGGAGGAGGGACCCTTCGCCCCAACCTCCTCCAAATCAAAGCCCAGTTCAACGGCACCTTCACGGCCACCAGAGAGGTCTCGGTGTCCACCCGCGATTGGGACAATGGGGAGACCTTCACCTGCCGGGTCCACCACAGAGACCTGCCCTCTCCCATCAGCCGCAGCATCGCCAAGAAGCCAGGTAGGGACCTATGGGGTGGTGGCATCTCCATAGGGTTCAATTCATGGTGGTTGTGGCGTCTCTGCCCTCAAATCGGGTTGGTTTGGGTGGTGGTGTCTCAGTGGGGTTCCCCTATCACTGATCTGGGTGGTGGCGGCATCTCAAGGGGGTTCGGTTCATGGTGATTATGGGCGTCTATGGCCTCATTTTGGGTGGTTTTGGGGGTCTCTGACCTCAAGTCGGGTTGGTTTGGGTGGTGGCATCTCAATGGGGTTTAGACAATGGTGGGCTTGGAGGTGGTGGTATCTCCGTAGGGTTTGGTTTAGGATGGTTTGGGGGGATCTATGGCCTCACTTCGGGTGGGTTTGGGGGTCTCTGACCTCAAACGGGGTTGGTTTGGGTGGTGGTATCTCAATGGGGTTTAGACAATGGTGGGCTTGGAGGTCGTGGCACCTCCATGGGCCTCCACCCGTCACCGATACGGGCCTAGCGGCATCATTATGAGCTTCATTCGCATTGATACGGGGCTGGTGGCATCTCCACGGGCTTCATTCCATGGTGCTTTTGGGGCCTCCGCCCTCCAGCCCCGTCAGTTGGGGTGGTGGCATCTCCATAGGCTTCACCCCCATCGTGTCCCCTCCAGGCAAGCGCTTGACCCCCAGCGTCTACCTCTTGCCACCACCTTCGGAGGAGCTGAGCGGGTCCCGTCCCACCTTAAGCTTGACCTGTTTGGTGCGAGGCTTCTACCCCGAGGCCATCTCGGTGGAGTGGCAGAAGAACCAGGACCCATTGGACTCCTCAGCCTACGACACCACCCCCCCTATGAAGGAGAAGGTGGGAGATGCCTCCTACTTCCTCTACAGCCGCTTGGTGGTGAAGAGGGAGGACTGGAACAAGGGGACAACCTACGTGTGCATGGTGGTCCATGAGGGGCTGCCCATGAGGTTCATCCAGCGCAGCATCAACAGGACCCCCGGTAAAAGGAAGTGAGAGGTGGTGGCATCTCGGTGGGGTTCCTCGTGTGGTGACTGATGCGCTGGGGGGGGCTGGGAATAAAGGAGAAGATGGTTCAAGCGGTGCGTGGTTCTGTGGGGGGGGTGATGGTGGAGAGGGGTGGAGATGGATGGAGATGGATGGATGATAATGATGGTGGGGATGGATGGAGATGATGATAATGGATGGAGATGGATGATGGATGGAGATGGGTGGATGATGATGGAGATGGATAATGGATGATGATGATGGAGATGGATGGAGATGGATGGATGATGATGATGGATGGAGATGGATGATGGATGGAGACGGGTGGATGATGATGGAGATGGATAATGGATGATGATGATGGAGATGGATGGAGATGGATGGAGATGGGTGGACAAGAGGAACTGGACGTTCCTCCCATCCATGGGGGCAAGAGGTGGGAGAAGAACCTATGGGAGATGGATGGAGACTGGATGATGGATTTTCCAAGCAAATCTGGGAAAATGAGGGAAAACTCATGGAAAATCGGGGAAAATTGGGAGAAACTGAGGGAATTTGAGGAAAATTCGGGAAAATTGGGGGAAATGAGGGAAAACTCATGGAAAATCGGGGAAAATTGGGAGAAACTGAGGGAATTTGAGGAAAATTCGGGAAAAATGGGGGGAAACTGAGGGAATTTGAGGAAAACTTGGGAAAACTGGAGTGAAACCCGGAGAAATTGGGGATAAATTCGGAAAATTTGGGCGAAATTGAGGGAATTGGAGGAAAATTGAAGGAAATCCGGGGAAATCGCGGGGAAAATGGGAAACTCGGGAGAAAACGGAGGGAAAATTGGGGCAAATCGGGAGGAAACAGAAGAAATTTGGGGAAGTGCGGAAAATTGGGAGAAAGGAAGGAAATTTGGGTGAAGATCGGGGAAATTTGGGGAAATCAGGGAAAAACTGAGGAAACTTGAGGCAAATTTGGGTGGAAACAGAAGAAATCCGGGGAAATGGGGAGAATTTGGGGAAATGGAGGGAATTCGAGGGAAATTTGGGAAATCAGGGGGAAAACTGGGGAATTTGAGGGGAATTTGGGGAAAACTGGGGAAATTTGAGGAAAATTTTGGGGAAATAAAGGAAAAAGTGGGGAAAGTTGAGGCGAATTTGGGAAAACTTAGGCAGACTGGGGAAAACTGAGGAAATTTGGGGGGAATGTGGGAAAATTGGGATAAAACGGGGAAAAACTGAGCAAATTTGAGGAAAATTTGGGGGAATTGGGAGAAAATTGGGGAAATTGAGGAAAAATGGGGAAAATTGAGGAAATTTAGGGAATTTGCAAGGATAATGGATGGAGATGGATGGAGGTGGATGGAGATGGATGGAGGTGGATGGAGGTGGATAGAGATGGATGGAGATGGATGGATGGAGCTGATGGGCCATCACAGACCATCATGGAGCCCTTGTCCCCCCCTGTCCCCACCTCCAGACATGCTCCTCCCCGAGGACCTTTGCCATGGTGACCCCGACATGGCCAATGGGCCCTGGGACACCGTCGCCGTCTTCATCACCCTCTTCCTCCTCAGCGTCTGCTACAGCGCCACCGTCACCCTCTGCAAGGTGGGGCCTCCTATGGGGCCCATGGGTGGTAGGCAAGGGGGAGAGGTGGAGGTGCTGTGGGAGGAGATGTGGAGGTCCCATAGATGGTGGCAAAGGTGCCATAGATGGTATTGAAGGAGATACCGAGGTCTTATGGGTGGAGGGGGAGATAGGACCCATAGATGGTTGGAGGGGTTGGGTGGTCATTGGGTGGTTGGATGATGGTTGGATGGTCATTGGGTGGCCATTGGGGGGCTGGGTGG